AAAAAAGCCACACTACTCAAACAAATGCCGACACCATAAGCGATCCACACCCATTCGAACTCCTTCAGTGTAAGCACTTGGTGCCTGTGCCTGCTACTGGGATCCTTAAGACTGAAACGCCCCAATCTGACCATCGTAAAGAAAGTCTCTTTATACCAATGTACAAGTAAACCATTTTCACGTGCACGCAAACAAAAATCACTCAATAGGTCTTTGTACATGGAATTCTCACTGATGGGCAAACTAAGGAGGGCGCCTTTTGTGTAGTACAATTTTTCCGATAAGCGAAATAACGGATATTGGAAATACTTTTGACGCTCCTCAATTGTTGGCCACATCAATGAACTCATTATATAACCATAACGGTTGTCCAATTTGCGTATATTTTTTTGATATTCATCAAAAGTCGGTACTATCTCGAATATCTGGCTATGTTCTCTCCAAAATTCCACGCCTTTGTAAAATTTAATTTCAGCTATATCTGGTTGAGAGACTTGTATCTGTAGATTGCGTTCACCAACTTCACTAAATTCTTCAATCGGTGTCTCACGCGGGGGAACTGTCAACCAATTCACTAATTTTGTGGAAAAGAAGCTATTCAATGTACCACCCAAAGCAAAGATCAGTATAAAAATAATACGCCGAGTGCCATAATTAAAACGAACGGTAGAGGACTGGCAGACAATACCACGCAGTAAATCAAAATGCCAGGGATTTATAAGTAAGAGTAGTAATCGACGCTTGCCGTCTAAACTTCCGCCGCATGCCAAGTTGACATGAATGGCGTCAATGACGCACAAACACCAAACGATGGCAAATAGACTAACTATAACAGCTGGACCGAAAATTTTTGTATAAAAGTAGAATGTTTCCAAAGGCGCTTCCACTGGCAGCATGGTTAGCCATTGATAAAACTCGACCGGATAGATGTACTCGTGTAAATTTTCTTCCTTTTGCGGAGTCGATAGACTCGCACCCACATCGATCGAATCATTGCGAGCGGCCTGGCGAATATCCTCCATGTAAAGCACATGCTCTGCCGTTGATTCATAGTTATCGGGCAAGTATAGTTGAAAATTATATCGCCTGGCGAATGTCTTCAAAAAGTAGCCGATGTAACCATCTATGATAAGGCAACCATTCTTTCGGTACAACATGGTCAACGGCTCTACTTGGTCAATTAATATACGTAATCTCTTTCGTCGTACGTCTATAAAACGATTCGGATAAATGGGCGTGGCGGATCGTAGATCGCGAGCTTCCAATTCGAAATCGGGAAATTGATTGTAAGAATGATAGATGTGTGTGGTTGCAAAATCGCGATGTATAAGCACAGCATGAAGAAATCGTACTTGTTCGCAGTGTTTGAAAAATGTCACAATATCCGATTTGGCGCTGGATGCGAGATCGCCGTTGTGTATAGCCAAAACACGTCTGGTGCGAATGTGCTGCAGATCTTTAGCAAATGCCAATAAGAAATCCTTATTGGTGAGTACTTTCACGCAAACTATAGCCAATATGAAGCTATTGCCAGTGCCGCGTACATACACCGGAAGGCTCGTATTCAATTGCATAAATGGCAGTTCGAAGTTCGTTGGTAGCTGCTCGTCCACACAATCACTCGGATGATTCTTTAACAGAAAGTAACTAACGAACCGACTCTCGGTTTGCACTCGCTGCAATAAGTTTTGGAATCCTCTAGTGAAATCGACAGTGTTAGGCTGCATAATGGAGTAGTGGCCATAACTGATTTGCTTACTAACCGCGGCAACTTCTAAATACAACGAGCAAATAAAGCAAACTACTGCTAATGGATAGAACATTTTGCAGTGTACGCGACAAAGGATTTTGAATAGCAAAAAAATTAGGCCAACAGTATGCCGCTTTTATACAATTTGTAGTTGACAGGGAAAGTTTTGGTATTTGCATACATATTAGTCGACACTATTTGCATTTACAATGGATATTTACTTACTTAGGTAAATCATGTACTTGCGATAAGTGATAGCGTGTGTGAATGATTCGACATGTTTTCACACCTGCCTAGTGGTCAAGTTTAAACATTTAGCTTTACAAATTGCATGACTCTTGATTATTTGGCACTATTTACAATTCCACCCAGGGGAGGTGCTTGGAAATTTTCCACGTGATTTTCCTTGTCGCTAGCAAGTCGCTTGTAATGCACGTGAGTGCAAGTTTCTTATCAAACCATTTGTGAGTTCTGAATTTTTAATTCTTGCCTAATGCGTCATTTTCATTTAAATTTGAGTGACAATAGGGTAAAACGTATATGTACATATGTACATATATGAGAAGCAAATGTTCAGCAATTCATTCGGGCTGGATTACAAAATTTGAGGAGGAAATGTTTCGAAGCAGCCAACCAAAGGAACACACATAGGCCATGAGCATTAGCCGTTTGGGATACCACTACGAATGGGAACTGCAAAGTTATAGCAAAAAACCATGCGTGCCGAAAATGCAAAAGCCGCTCAGTTTGAGGGGACTTTTTATTATCAATACCCGCCTCGACCAGAAAGACCTGACTTGGTTTTCGCCTAGCGTTTGCTGATTTAACACAACACCTATTTAACAAAGAGTAGTCTATAATGGTACTTGCACCTTCCTCTTTCTTTATGAAACTAGGTCGAGTGTGCTCATCAGCGAGGAAGCTTCCTGCTTCTATATAAGTCTAACAAAGGAATAAAGAGGACCGTAATCGACCCCAGGACCATGCTGGCCGCCTGGATTTCTGTGCAGATATTTACCTCCCTTACCGCCCCCGCACACATCAGCACCTAATCGACTGTTTCCTTAATAGCATAAATCTCTTTCTGGAATTTACTGCAGTGATCTGAAAGCTCAAATTTAAGGCTGATGGAGATTTTCTTTTAAAAGACCAATCCATCGAATCATCCATCGAGCTTCAACCTATCCTCGAAAAAGTATACCAGTGCCTCCTTCTAACCACTGCCTCCCATCCACCTGTCTATAAGGGGGATGTACGTGTCACTTTTTGTCTTCTGTAAGACCTAATTTAAATGCCCTGTTATCAATAAAGTTTCTTGTCGTATGAGCTACACATAATCTTCGCCAGTCTGCAACCCTAAGTGGGTTTCCAAAGCCTATCTGCTTGGCGGTACTTGAGCAAATCTTTTGATATTTTGATTTATCGAAGATGAATTGGTATATTCGTGACTATTGAGGCGGTTTTAGCCGCTGCTAGTCTCTTTATAGCCTCCTTACAGTCCGCAACGGCGATCAAGTTTGTACATATAATATGAAAGTTGATCCTTGATAGCCGTCTGACTATCTACATATGTATAAGTTTATCTGATCGCTTGGCAAATTAATAACATGCAGTAATTCTGCCGCATTCTTTATTGCAAAAATCTCGGCTTGATAGATACCGTAAAAATCCGGTAGCTTAAACGACCTACGAATTTCTGGTTCCGCACAGTATACTCCGGCTTTTTCGCTCATTTGGAACCATCTATGTTGATGTGCGTTGCCTTCCCTTTAAACTCGACGCCTTTACGCCAACCATCAACGTGGCATAAAGCCTGGCGGCAGTTCTAAACGCTATGTTGCTGGCTACCAGGTTCGCCGTTGGCATGTTTAAGATTGTTTGTATTTACTGATCAGTGAGAGCCCGTTAACCCTCTCCACGATATCAATATCCCATAGAATAATATTGGCTTAATTGTAGCCGTGAATATCTAATATGAAAGAGCGGTAGAAAGCCCTCAAGTGCAGCCCAACCTCTTATTACATGTATTCATTGTTGCCGGGACCTTCCTCACCCGTTCCTTCACATTACGCTTCCGCGACAATTCGCTGTCCAATACGATTCCAAGGTACTTCGTGTTTGGCTTTGGTTGAAGAGTGGTTTCCCCAATTTAAGTTTATTCCAAGCTGTTAACTTGTATTTCCTACTGATAACACCCCTCCCAGCGGTTTGCCTCTATGCACTTCTCGCATGACCTCGTATAAGCCCCATTGCGCCGAGATCCTTCTATGGGGAGCTGTATCGGCTTACTTCCATTTAGTATAGGCGTGCTGCGCTCTTGAGAGTTGTCTCTCATCTTCGCCTTCCTTTATGTGTACATCTATTAGAGTTTTTAGGAGAAATGATGTTAGGCTGATGGGCCTATAATCTTGGGATTGCACATGGCTGCTTTTACCTGCGTTCGGCAGGAAGATGGCAAGGTGCAGTCCTCCATGATGTAGGTACATATATAGTTCTGCCTGATGCAGCCTGCGAAAAGTTCACATATGTAGGTACATACTCTAAAATTTTGTTTCCCGCCTTTTGAAGCATGGCCAGGAAAATAGCATCAATGCTGGCGATTTAAATTCCGAGAAAGTATGTAGAGCCCATTCAATCTTACCCGGAGTTGCTAAACCTCCCACAGGGGGTGTGGCCCTTCGCCTTCTATTACTATCAGCTCCGACTCTAGGATGACCGCTGGAAGTGTATTCAGAGTAATATCACGAGTGATTCTTCGCTATTCAGGGCCCATGTCCATCATTGGCCAATATTTCCTTTAGATAAAACTTTCGTTAGCCTTGAGGTCTCTGAGGAACTTGCTGCCGCAAAAGCTTTGCGATGAGCTTCTCTTGGCCTTTCCTAATTCTGCCATGGTACAAAGAGAAGTGTATTCCTGCCCGAAGAGGACATAGTGTAAAAGCTAAAGCTGTCAAACGCTCCCTCAATATCAGTGAAAATTCTCCCATTGTGTACTCATCCGCTTCACGCTTCACTTTGATCTTTGTCACAAAGTCATGTAGAGGTGATTTATATGACCTTCTGCTTTGGTATGCATGTTGGTGAACAACAAAGGGAGCTTTCCACCAAATCCTTTGTTGTAATAAACTTTTCGACCATGCTCTCTAGATTATTCAGCACGAAGGATGTAAGACTGGTTGGTCTGAAGCTTTTAGCTACCGCATAGTCATTTCTCCCTGTTGGGCTAATGAGGGTTATCCTAACTTTCTTCCAAATAGTTGGAACGTCGCCAAATGGCATGCATGCCCTAAAAACTTGTATGAGAGCCCCTATAAGCCTTTTTCTCCCACACTTTGGCATCTTCGGATACACACCTCGCCAGTACCACTCGAAACTGCACAACTCGAAGCTGTACTACTGCGAGTAGCCCGGTGGGCGCTTGAGCGATCTTAAGTTCCACACGTAATGGCATAAACGGTATCTTATATATAGCTTGTTTTATTGCATTTCAATGTTGGTCCACGCGTATAAAAACATGCCATATGGTAGTAGGAAATTAGTTCCAAACTGGCTACAGAAGGGTTCAGCGAGACTCAACCCCCAATATGACTTTTCGCTTGACTTCCTTCTTATGGCTCTGGATATAACATTGGTCTCGAGCATACTTTCTGGGCGGTATGCTTTAAATGTTGCTAGGAAGTGAGCATGGCGAAATTCTTGCTTTATGTTCCATAAAACTTTGCTGTTTGTTTCGTAGAATACATTTTTTATCCTGAGTCAAAAGTAAAGAAACAAACAAAATTGCTAATAAATGTTGCCGCAGCAGCATTACTAGCGGCTGCTGGAAGAGCCGTAAATTGCGTTGGCACAAAAGAATTGCACGAGCAATACCAACAACCAAGCAGCGAAGAAGGCAAAAACGACAGCAAATTGATTGCTACAAAAGCCGGAAGTAGGTCAACGGCTGGCGCACACATAAATAGCAAAATACATATATACATACAAGCATATGTCATATGTATCTGCTGGCACATATAAATAATCGTATATATGGATGTGTGAATGCCCATGTGTGTAAACAAAAATCGAGATATAGTTGAAAACCGGATCTTATCTGCTGCTCAAAGAAAAAAATGATACGCCTGCTATTTACTAGCAGTCTATCGGAAACCGGCATGCTGCAGCAGCCTGTTTAAATACATACATTTGCATGTATGTCGCACAACATACGCGTAGTAATAGTTTTATTACCGCCTGAGCTGCCTACAATGCTTTTTGCAACTTTTGTCTTCGTATAGCGGCGGCAGCAGAAGGGCATGCTATACTGGTTGGCATGTTGTAAAATGCAAATTTACTTTGCACTCACTACAGCTACAGCTATTGTTGCATGCAACTTCTCAAGCGCAAGCAAGCTTGCTGGTAGTTGTTGTTAGCGCAACACAATAAACTTACTGTCGTTCAGTCGGCTTGCATTTGAATCAGCATACATTAGACTGCCTCACGCTTCATACAAAGAAAACTCGACCGTGGATGGGATTTAAGTATGTATTCTAGACAGAATATTTACAGCGCAATTCTGGCTAAGATAGTGAAAGACAGACGGGCAAGATAGTTCCAAAGAAAGCACACAAGTCTTAGAAAAAAGCTCTCTCATTCACCACTCGTGGTGAAAAGCTATTTTGAGAGAAAGCACTTGTATACGATTTAGTTCACGTCTCTCCAACAGTCGCAATAGCCGAGTGGGCAAGGCGTTGGTGTGCCAATCGAAAGATCCGAGTTCGAGTCCTGGCGCAGCGGAATTTTTATACATTTCTTTTTTATTCGAAATTTTTTTCTTTTTTGATAGCATTTTTAGGTTTTTTTTTATTAAAAACAAGGAAATATGTATTTTTTAATTTAATTTAATTTTTAGAAATGTATTTTATATATTTATTGTGTTTTTTAGTTTTCTTTTCTTTAATTTTTTGGTTGTTATTGTTTTAAAAGGAATTTTTTTAATTTCATTTAATTTTTGGTACTTATTTTATTGTTTTAATTTTTAAATATTTCAAATTTTTTTGAATCATTATTTTTTTTAACTTTGAGATTTTACTGTGCAAAAAA